GTGTTTCTTGGGAAAATATGGGAAATGATGAACCGCTGGAATTTGGGGGATCCCGTTGCCATGGAAATCGCCATGGAAATCGTTCCGTTTTTCCACGTCCCCAGTACAGGCGTGACCAAGTGACACTTCTGGTTCATCAATCAATTCATGATCACCTCAGACCAGAACCGTCAGCAAGGGCAGTGGGCCCCTGGGGCCCCTGGACCTTGTCACCCGGGATTACAACACAAAAACATGAGGAGTTCATCAATCCAGATGTACTTGCATACATTGAGAATCATAGATAACAAAACGAACAAAACACAACAACACATACCATACCAAACAAAACAATCACATTGCATTGTATTGCATTGCATTGCATGAGATGACATTACATGATGCATCATGTACTGTATCTGTTTATTTGCCTACTATCTATCTATATATATATTCTAAACAAACAATTTATATGTCTATCTATTCTATCTATCTACTCCCTCAATATATCCAATCTATCTAATCTTGTTCAATCATACCTAATCCAGATGGGATCTCATCTAGGCAACGCATGAAGCATCACAGAACCCCTTACCACAATAGTTTCCTGCTGATTTTGCCTAAATCTCGAGGGCTAATTACAATGATATAGTCTGGCACATCCGATTCAAGATGCACGTTCACATTCGCCTGCTCCTTTGCGGAGTTTTCTTACTTTTGCTTGGGAATAGAAACATGATGATAAATGTGTCATACCAAACATGGCAATGGAAAAATCATTGACTGAAATTCCCATTCAAAACCCCATTTAGTTCGGGGGTTTCCGATTGCCATGTTTGATTTCTGAAGGGTAACACAAGCCGCCCCATCAATGAATTGAAGCCTGGTCTCTCTCAATTGCCATTCGAACTTTGTCGCTCGCAACGTTGGGTCGGAGGCTATTCATGATCTTAGTCCAGAGGCTGTACCCGCGTTGGATAGCTATGTTAACAGTAAACCATAGTCTTACAAGAAAAACATGGTGATAAAACCATGTAAAGCCATGTAACCAATGACATTTCCTGAAATAATAGAGGTGTCTCATTTGCTGATAGGAAAAGAATGGGCCAATCATGCCTTTAGAAAGGAAACTCACATGTAACCATAGTTTTAACCCTCTATGTTTGTTTTTTTAAAATGGAGGTCACAGGGGCAGCAGTGAGTCAGCGTGCTGAGGCTGGTCATAATAAGAGCCCGTCCCTTTGCTGCCCGCTGGGGGAACGTACATTTCAGTTTAACCTTGAGGACACTTCTGGCAAACACCTTCGGATTAAAGTGGTCTGAGAATGGTCTGTTTTGTACATTTTGACTTCGAAATGTGCTTCGCGCCAAAACAGCGTGCACTTTTTCGACATCGCAACTTCTAAAAGGGCTCCGAAGCTGAGGTGTTTTGTACCTTTTGACTTGGGCATGTGCTTTGCGCCACAACGGCGTGCACTTTTTCATGTCTCATCTGGCAAGATGGCTCCGCACCCGCCGCTTTAGCGAGCCTACTTTTCGACCCTCTGGAGACACAAATCATTGGAAAAACACAGTGTTTCGCTTTTCGCGCACCTGCATCTTCTTTCTTCTGACTTTTTCTCTTCTCTGATCTTCTCTCTTCTGCTCTTCTCTCTTCTACTCTACTCTTCTCTCTGACTCTTCCCATCTCTGCTTTTCATCTGTCCATTTGTCGGAAGTTTGACTGCTAAACTTCCTTCGGACATAACATTACATATATTCATAACATAACATATATTCATAACAAAACATAATCTCACATTAAATACATGCATGCATACATACATACATGCATGCATGCATACATACATACCTTCATACATTACATTACATTACATTGCATTACATTACATTGCATTGCATTACATTACATTACATTGCATTGCATTACATTACATTACATTAAATTACATTACATACATGCAGACACATACATACATCATGCATACATACATACACATACATACACATACATTACATACATACATTACATACATACATACATACATACATACATGCATGCATGCATGCATGCATACATACATACATTCATACATTCTTACATACATACATACATACATACATACATACATACATACATACATACATACATACATACATACATACATACATACATACACACATACATCATACATACATACATACATACCTACATACCTACCTACATACATACATACATACATTAATTACATTCATACATACATACATACATACGTACATACATACATACATACCTACGTACATACATACATACATACATACATACATTGCAAACGTATACAGAACATAACATACCATAACATAACACTGCATTGCGTTGCATTGCAGTGCATTACATTACATTACACACATACATACACAAATGTACATATGTAATCTGTCCTGTATGTACAATTATATATGTGTGTGAGTTTGTATATATGAAAGTCATATCCAAGTAGATAGCGAGCCGACGTCCGTATAGCTTGACTAGGGTGGACCAGCTGCGATCAAAGAGCTCCAAAGTTGAACTGAAAGTATTCACCCGAACGCGACCTAAGTTGCCCACTGGCTACTTGGAAAGTCGCCCTTGGGGGAAAGTAACTTGACTACTTGGATCACGTTGGATTGTTGGACCTCTAGTGACCATGGAAAACGCAGGAATCGGGGACTTATTAACCATGTATTAAGTGTTGTGATATAACCATGTCCAATTCGTGGGATGATCCTCCATGTGGTTAGTCTCAATACCAGCAATGGTTGTCTCCGACCTCGCAACCTGAACCAGCTGTTGGCCGACCGATGATTTTTCAATCCGCTTTGGGAGCCACATGGAATTGCAAGCAGTTTCCAAAATGAGACAACCAGTATATGTTAATTAGTCTAAAATCTTACAACATTTTCGGGTTTTGGCGATGAGAAGCCGAAGCAAATTTGACGGGAGTGCTGCAATTCGCCCACACTTCTTGTTCATGGTCACTGATTTACTTGAATGTAGGTGCATTTAAATTTCTTCGGTATGGAAGCAAGATTACCTCAGTGATCCTCAGTGAAAACTTTTGCAATCCGACCAGCCAGCCAAACCTCCACAGGTTTGAATCCCTAATGATGGTTTTTTGGATGTACGTCGGACTTCCGCTGCCTGTACGTTGCTATATATTCCTAAGCCCAAATGCAGAAAAATTGAAAAGCATGCTGAAAATTCTAAGTGCAAGTGTCAAACTGGAGAAATTCGAAACTCTGGACAGCACTGTGCCCGCGCTACGTGATGTACCTGAAGATCCACCACTTACTCGAGTCCTGTGGGCCCTGTGGGTGTGTCCATTGGCCCTGCTTCGCTTGCTACTTCCAGTGCCATACGTGTCCACCAACCCTCCTGGCGGACAGAGTCGAACCCTTAATATGTTTTGGACAAAATCAAAGCAATTGTAGAATCTTGGGACTGGGGCCTGTGAATTTGGATGAATTTGCAACTCGGAAGCTTCGTTGCACAGCAACTCTCTGTGGGAACCATCCAAATAAGTTCGTGCCGGACCTGTGATACAAACAAAATGTATACTATACAAAAAGGTGCCAGGGGGACATGCCACATCGGATTACATTTTCTTGCAATGCCATCTAAGATTAAAATACAATACAGCATCGATGATACACACTGGGCCCTTCGATTATATTTATACACACACATACATATTATATATATATACATACATGACACTCCGTTCCCTAAGCCGCTTCTTCCCATCACCCGCTTTCTCTTTTTGTGAAGGGTTGCGCAAGTCTTCTATAAAATCTGCCCGAAGTTTCCTCTCCGGCCAGCCAACTTCGCAGAGGCAGCGCATCTTAGACGCGCTATTTTTTAAAACACCAGGTGCACACTTCCTTTTCAACACCAGGTGCACACTTCCCGCTATCAAATCTCAATCCACGACACTCCGTTCCCTAAGCCGCTTCTTCCCATCACCCACTTTCTCTTTTGTGAACGGTTGCGCAAGTCTTCTCGTTCCAGCTCCAAGATTTTAGGCCAGTGGCCTGAATCTTGCTCCAGTTCGCCCACCGTGCCGATGTATGGTTTGAAAGTCTGCGGCGTGAGCCCTGTGATGCGCGTATCCTTGTGCGGACTCAAACTCAAACTCATCACGACGAAGGAATTGGCCATTATCTTTAACCGGTCCCGGATCTCCTCGGGGGTCCTGGGGCACCCGGGAGGCCCAGCCGCTTGCGCACAGTCCAAAACCTTGGCTGCGTCGCAAACAAATTGCTTCACGCATTGTCTCCAGAGCAATTAAATCTGAAAACACAATACTCTCGCCTGCTCCGTGTCAAACCCCGGGCAAACTCAGAACATTAGGGCCCATTACTTCTCCGGTAGAAATACGGACATCGGACCCAGTGTGGCTCACTCTACTAAGCAAGATCTTCTTGATGTCTTCAACCACATTGTTCCTCGTTGGCAAAACCCCGTACTGCAGTTTCCGGTCAACCTAGGCTAACAATCTCCACGGAGCTCTAATCCAGGTGTCATTCCCATTCGATTACACCAATGTTGACACGACAGCTTTGGCACAAAGTCTTTACTGAAATATTTCAAAAAGAGGGATGGGACATGCCCTTCTCCCACACCAAGCAAAACTTCAGCTGAAATTTTCTGGCTCTTAATGGAAAACCTTACACATGCAAGCTGGTTGAAGCACGCGCTTCCATTTTTGCCTCAAGCTTTGCATGCCTGCGCATGTTTTGGCACTTTCTGGGATTGGCCCTGCTGAATACCTTAATCTTAAACATGTTTCCTGTTGATCGTGGCATCCGGAGGACCCCCCCACCCCTTTTGGAAGCCCAAAAAAAGGATTGGTATATTTCACTTGGTCAGGCGAACTATTTCTCAGCCCCCCTCAAAAAAAAATAATATTTATATATACTGGGCATGCAAGGCTGGATGGATTAGGTGACCGAGCTTTGCCAGGTCGGGATTGTTAGAGCGCCCTCTCACTAAGGTCATCACAGCAGCCACATTGTCCAAAAACAGAGGCCTTGACGATTGCGAAACAGGTCAGGCCGTTCGATCAAGCACCATTGAAAGCTCAAGCTGCGCAATGTGGGTCTCTGCTGGCTGCCAAAGGGTTGGAAGTTCATCGCAATTGGTTGCCACAAAACTGAGACGGATTTGGGATCCGCCTGGTTGGAAAAAGATGAAGTGGAAACCACCAGATCCAGGATTGTCAGCTTCGACAGCAGCGCCTGAGGCTGCCAAAAATCGATGTTGCTGCAGGGGAAAAACTGAAATTTCGTTTCAGTTCAAAGCGCATAACTGCTTCGATCACCTCGAAGCATGCTTCAATCTCCGGTGTCATAGCCGCTATCGTCTCATCTTGTCGAGCTTTAATGGCCATGGGACCACCATAGCCTACTCGGCCGTAAATGCCCTGTTCCAGGAAGTTGGCGATACCGTACAGCTTTGAGGCTGTGCCACGTGTGGACTTCCCAGTTGCCCTGGCATGGAAGATGATGTCCTTGACTTGTGATGGAGGCGAGCTCTGGCCCAAAACCTGACAAAGCCTGTGCTGTTGATGTTGACCAGGTCATGCGTGAGGCCCAAGAATGTTCCTGTGTTCTGCATGGGCTGCTTCTTGTCAGCGGCTAATGGGGAGCCGATCAAGGTGCATAGTTGATTCACTGCCCATTGCCCTGGCAAGGGAGGGCCAGCCTCTCCATGCTGCTTGAACTCCAGGAACGCTGCTGCGTGGAGGATGCTGGCCTCAGTGGTAGCGGGGATGTCGATCCCAGGGAGATTACGCAGCATACGAGGTCAACCCTCGCAGTACACCAGGTCACCCCTGGAATAATCTCGGTCAAGAAAGGTCAACCCTTCCTAGACCCAGAAAGGAAAGCAATGAACGATATTTTGGTTCAACTCCAACTTGAGCCAAAATGATAGCGTTCATCGGCTCACTAAAAGATGATACATGTACACCCAAAGCCTGCCAAGCTCAATGCATGAATATATAATTATATAGATTTATATCAACATGATTCAACATGTCTATATGCATATATGTAGTGTGTGTGTAAATGGAATACCGCGAACAAACATGCCGCCGCTCCAGGTCTCATATTCACTGGGTGAGCGAAAGGGCAGAAGGCTTAACGATGCCTCTGGCAGTCCATGCTTTGATGCCATGCATAGATAAGTACATGGTCCTATTCTACATGGAGTACCATCTAATATCATTTAATTACATCCCATGCGGATATATGTATGCAATAATACAATACATTACATACTTACACATTTATATACTATAATTTACCATAATTAATTATATGTGCTTCCTCAAGTTTTCCGTGAATATGTCAATGACATCCGTTGTTCCGTCCTGAATGTTCGGAGCGCTGCGAGGATCGCGCGGAGGAGTGTAGTGAGGAGTGTCGTGAGGATCGTCCTGAGCGCTGGGTCACACAGTGGGGATAGCCCGAGTGGCTCGAAGAACGCGCCGAAGACGCCGAGGAATGATGCGTTGGACTGCAGAATGGCACCCCCTGTTCTGATTCATTCGGTGATCGGTTTAAGATGGACAGATGGAGTTAGAAATTAGGAAATTGATATATTAGGTGGGTTCCTAAAAACAACTTCCAAAATATTTTGGCCATTTTTGAGGAGGGGAAATTGAAGGTTTCTGTGGCGCACAAATTTTCAGACGTCTCAGAAGCACACATGGTCAGGATTCGTAAGACACGGTGACTGTCCTACAAGGATGCCCCTCAGGGACGTGCCCCAGCCAGCCATTGGAAACTGTAAGGGCCGAACGGAAGGAATGAAGGGGACATCATAGGATACCAATTTGCTTGCATGGAAGCATCAAAACAAACATAAAACTAAAAAATAAACAGCCCCTGAATAAAATACGCGCGTTGTATCTAATTCCCGGAACAAACCATTTGACCCGATCGGTCTAAAGCAAGCTCAAGTTTTAGTTGATTCAGGATTCCCTCTTCTGAATCTCATAGTCCCTAGCGTTCATCCCTTACATCTGCAGGAGTTTGCTTGGAACTCTGGCGATATTGAAATACCACTACTCTTGAGACTCTTAATGATATTTTACTTACTCCGTGAAACTGAAGCTTGCATACAGGTCACACATGAATTAAGGATGGTATGAACAATCAAAATCACGTTTCAAGAGGATGTGCAGCATGATGTTTGGGTGCTTGTTCTTTACCTGAGCAACGTTCAAAAGCCCTTTGTCATTCCATTTAATCCTGCTTGGTTCATAGGGATTCCCTGTTCTTGGATCATTATAAGACCTAATGTATAAAGGGTAGGAGTATAATCCCCGAACTAATCATCAACCACCAGGGTTCCTTTTATGGAAAGCCTCTCGCATTTATGGCTGCGGTTCATCATGGTTCAAGTCCCTTGGTTCAGGCCGCAGCAACGGCAAGAATCATATCAGGCACCTACTAGGACATTGGGTAGCTAGTACATGGCAAACTGATGTAAATATGTATACATATATTTATAGTTATATATATATAAACATACCCGCCGGTGATTTCGCATAGCTATTGATAATCTCCTTGTTTTAATGGTGAACCATCATCCATAGATGGACCATTGTCATCGTCGTTGAAAAATAACCATTCCCACAAATTCTTCAGGGCACCTGTGAACACTCCGCTTCGTGCAAGGTTGGGAGAGATCAAATGGTGGTGGTCGTGGTCCTCGGAGAAAACACTGGGGCTTAGCCCCTGGAGCTGTCACTGATATTCGATAGCGTGCACAATTCAGAAAGGCTGGCAATCATCGACAGCTTTCGTGTTCTTTGAAACTGCTCACATGATGCCATGAACGCCTGGGCATGTCTTGCCCAAGATCAAATAGACACCTCTGGAAATCGACAAAAAGTAGTTCCTGCCCTGAACTTCCTGAACACACATCCCCAATCCCGCCTGTGATACGTGAGAATGGCTGGGTAGTGTTTATCGAAGGAAGTTTAGAAACCAAACTTCCGACAACATTGACAGATGAAAAGCAGAGATGGGAAGAGTCAGAGAAGAGAAGAGAAGAGAAGAGAAGAGAGAAGAGAAGAGAAGAGAAGAGAAGAGAGAAGAGAGAAGAGAAGAGAGAAGAGAAGAGAAGAGAAGAGAGAACAGAAGAGAGAACAGAAAAGAGAAGAGAAAAGAGAAGAGAAAAGAGAAGAGAAGAGAAGAGAAGAGAAGAGAAGAAGAAAGAAGAAAGAAGACCAAAAAGATCTCGGAAGAAAGAAGATCCAGGCGCGCGAAAAGGTAGGAAAGTCGCGAAACATTGTGTTTTTCCAATGATTTGTGGCTCCGGAGGGTCGAAAAGTAGGCTGGCTCAAGTGGCGGGTGCACAGCAATGTGGTCAGATGAGAGATGAAAAATTGCACGCCGCTGTGGTGCGAACATCCAAAAATGGTCCGAACATGTAGTGTTTTTAAAACATTTTGACCTCGAAATGTGCTTCGCGCCACAACAGCGTGCACTTTTTCGACATCCCAACTTCCAAAAGTGCACTGAACCCGTCAGTTTTTACACTTTTGACTTCGAAATGTGCTTCGCGCCACAACGGCGTGCACCTTTTCGACATCGTAAGGTCCGGGCGCTGATTTCCTGAGAGGGGTTGCATTTTGGAGCATCAGATCTTCAGTTTTGGGAAGATGATTTTGCGTGACAGGTGCAGCACTCCGTATGACCTGGCATCACTTTTTCGTGGCAGGCGCAGACAGGTGGAGTGGAAAAATTGTAAAACGCATTGGTACGAGGCCGTCAGCTCTGCACTCAACTATCCATTTTTGAAGGATGTCTCGCAGAATTGTTTCGTTTTTGTTGTCAACTTCGAAAATTGAGGAAGTCTCGCAGAATTGTTTCGTTTTTGATGTTGTCGTTCAAAAATTGAGGAAGTCTCCCAGAATTGCTCGTTTTTTTATGTTGTCAAATTCAAAAAATGAGGAAGTCTCGCAAAATAGCTGCGTTTTCAAGCTTGCAGATAGACAGATCGCTAGATAGAAAGAAAGACCGACAGATAGATAGCTAGATAGATTAGGTAGATAGACAGACAACTACTACTACTACTACAACAGCAACAACAACAACAACAGCTACAACAACAACAACAACAACAACAACTACTACTACTACTACTACGACAACAACAACAACTACTACTACTGCTACTACTACTACTACAACTAATACTACTACTACAACAACTACTACTACT